CCAAGAACAGGTCAAAACAAGAAAATAAGACAGGCAAAGGAAAGGTTTTAACTGGTTTTCAAGATCAATTTTGACATGCTGAAGAAAATGGAAATAAGTACCTTTCCTAAGAAAGAGACCAACATGGGTGGATACAGAGAGGTGGTGAAGTATCCTAAAGACTCAACCTATCTTGGAGATATTTGTATACTCAAAATTACTATATTTAGCTGTGCTATATAGTATAGTAGAACCTGTCTTGAAAGACCACCTCTTCTGCCAAGGTGGTATCTCATGTCAAATCAAAACATTGTACAACCAATAAATCCAAATAATGAGAATATGGTCTCCTGAAACAGGTGGTTTCTCACAGCAGTGTTCTTTTTGGGCACGTGTTACTAGGAAATGTTAATATCCACAATCTGATGTTGATGATATATGCACATTTTGCTAATAAAATCTACACATACTTCCAACCCCTATAATTCCATGCTTGTTTCATTTATTGGTACTGAGCAAGCTCAATCTTTTGGCTTGTGCATTGTCCAGAATATGTTCTACAATCTAATACACAAAAATCAACCATAAAAATTAGAATTTTTTTACAAATAAATTTTAAGCAGAAAATTTGGTTTTCTTATTAACATTTTGGAAAATTTCAAAGATCTTACAATTTAAAAAAATCAGTATTCCACTTCAACTATATTTCAAATATTATATTTATCATCACAACTGATAAAAAAATTAAAAAGTGTACAATAAAAGAAAATTCAGTAAATTATATCCAATCAAAATGTACAGATTCTCCACTTATTACTATATACTAATTTAAAATAAAATCATAGGACTTATTAGACTACAATGTACTAATTTACAATAACATTCACAGGACTTACCAAACTAAATCATTGCATAAAGCTTCTGTTCCAAACTGATTACTTTTCCAAACCTATGATCTCACAGTAAAAACAATAAATCTGTAAAAGTGACACTTTGAACGACTCCCAATTCACTAAGTGTAATGCACATGGGTGTGCATTTTATCTTTTGTTAAATCAAAGTGCCATTTCATTATTTCATTCAAAAACATGTTTTACCTGTGACTAACTGAGACACCTAGGCAAATACACTCCTGTTAAATAAATCAAACTGCTGCCAAATTAAATTGCCAACAAGAAGTCTTGCCTGTTTTTATTATTGATACAGAATTTTTTTTTTTATTTCACTTTCCAGAGATGGGGATCCACTATCAGTAAAGAGTAATAAATGTGCATTGTGAAGAACTGTATGATAACAGACATTCCCAGCCATTGTTTCAATTGTTGATATCAAAATTGGGATACCACTCCTTCAAGTTCTGCATCATTGATGGCACCTATTGAGAGCTGAGGGATGTTGGGTACACATTTGTGGGATGATTATTTTTTCATCTGCTTCTCAGATAAAGTTCCAAACTTACACCTGCTGACAGGGGGTGGAATGTTGTTTTATACCCAGTCGACCTAATAACCTCTCAAATTGTTCCCCAATGGAAAATAGTGCATTGTTACACCCTTGACCAATCAGCAGCTAGCAATGTGCGGTAGGTAAATTTGTTAAGCTAAATTGTTATCCCTGATTCTGTTTATGATATTTTAACATCTGTATTACAAGCTTTGGTGAAAGCTGGATTAATTAAAGATAGGAAGACAAACTTCAAGAGTTCTAAATTTTTCAGGTCATTTCAGGTCAGAACCAACCATAAAAGCAGAAGTCATGCAAACCCCCATTTGTGAAACCTGGCAATCAAACAACACTTGAGCTCTAAAATTCATAATTCTTTTTAGAGGAGCAGAACTTCAAATTGAGAACTGAATATTTTAAAAGCTATTTCAGATAATTGCAGACAAGTTTTGATATTACAGTGATTTCACCCCTTTATCATTAATTTTGTGAATACTAAAAATATATAGACCATACAAAATTGGGAGGGGGGACTACAACATCACTGCCATAAATCCATGAATCTAAGCACCCCATATATGCTCACTTATAAGCCAAGTCCAACTGCACAGACCCCAATCTACCATCGTATAACATGCCTGAAGATCTGCATCAATGTATTTTCTTAGGAATAATCAGAACACTGATCCTAATCTACTGATGCATTATGGGACAGCCGAGTAAGGTCTATGTTTGCCTCTGGACCCAGAATTATACATTGGTATATATGATACTGATGCATTATGTGACAGCCGAGTAAGGTCTATGTTTGCATCTGGACCCAGAATTATACATTGGTATATATATTACTGACAAAAACTTGCACATGAACCAACTTTATGGGAGGGTTTTACTCCCAAGATGAAGGGTGTCATCTATATCTCCCATCACAAAAAAATGCACAATTATTATTGAAAACTTAAAGTTTTTCCATTTTTTCACACCTTGCTTCCTGTATATTTATGGTGATATTATCTGTAATCGCATGACTTTGAAATGGCATTAGCAGGGAAAGATCATTCAGTTGCTATTTAAATAATCAGCATAAAGCATTTAACATTTCTTTGATACTGTCAGCAAGGTTGGATGGCTTCAGTGCTTGAATTCTGTTGACATGGTCTACACTATAGGTCAAGAAAAGTAAGGAATAAGGAGATTTAAAAAACCAATAGAGATATTGATCCCCACTGGATGTAAATTATGTAATTGGTGTCTCCACTAAAGTTTGCTATCCTTCCATTCTTTATTTATACTAGAATGCTCTGGATCAAATCAGATAATTTATATTATCTGATACTAAAAAAAAATTATGCTATGGTCAGGTTGGTTAAAGTGTTTTAACATTAGGGTCTCTTTATTTTGGATATCCTTGTGGTGTTCTTTTATTCTCACTTGGAACCCCATTTTAGCCTCACCAATACATTATTGGGTGCAAAAGTTACATTAAGTAAATTGACATTACATGTAGTATAATGACTTCTTAATTTGGATGTACATTTAAGAGTTGTAAATGTGTGAAAATGGGTGGACTTTGGAATATATTAGAAGAGTCAGGTTGACAATTGACCTGAGATCTAATTGCACATTTTAAAAAATAATTATCTTTGACATACCTAAGGATTGCCAGTATTACACTATTTTATTTATTAACTTTTCAAGTAGGTTTCAGTAGATCTAAATGGCTTGTATGTCTGGAGATTCAATGAACCTTTCTCAAATAGATAATTGACTATGGTTGGATTACTAAAATGCTCAATCAGAATAAAACAGGGTAAATTTGACTTCAATGTTTAAAATTTGTAGGGTGTGCATTATTTCACAATGCCAATGATGGATGGAAATGGGAATTTCAGTTTTTGGAATCAAATTCTAAAGTCATGAATATTCATCTTGCCACTCCCATAAAGCATATTTTAAAATTTACCATGTTGGCAATGGCAACATTATGCATCATGCAGCATATTAAAACATTAAATGTGACAACAGATATACCATCTCTTATATCTATGTTTAAATGTGAATAAAGATATACAAGCCAAGGCTACTGTTCACCAACTCTAAATACATGTAACAGTACATGTATATTATACTGAAGATTACTGTCTAGAAACTAAGTTAACATTTGAAAATGTATTATTATTATTATTATTATTATTATTAATAATGTTGTTGTTGTTGTTATTATTATTGTGGTTATTATTATTATTATTATTATTATTATTATTATTATTATTATTATTATTATTATTATTTGAAAGTCTTGAGCTTGAGTGGAAACATTAAAAAGAGACTTCAGTTCTTTTGGCAAAATTCAAGACTGATTTTATGAAATTATAATGTGGCTTTAAGTGTCACCAATCAAATGTATTAAGTCTAGAATTAAACTTTAGGACTACTGTGAAACTTTGGCCTTAGCTTCACAAATCAAGTCTTAGATTTATGTCTACATGTCAGATATTTGATTGGCCATTTTAAAGTCAGACTTACTGTAGTCAATCAGATACTTTCTACACATTACTTTCATCATGGACTTGAGATCTGTTATTGAAATCCAGACCAAACTTTTGTAAACTGGATTTAAACAAAAGAAATTTAATTTGGTTTGAAACCTTAAAATCTGGGTTAATAATGTTTAACATGAACAGTTATATAATGTTGTGGAAACCTTAGCAAATGGTCTTTTCCACAGATATACTGTGGTGAGATGACCCGGACTCCAAGCCAGATCTGGATTTTACCCAAATTATTTTAAAGTTTTGACTTATATCTCAAACCTAACTGAAAAAAAATCATTTAACAGCACATCAACACACTAAAGACTATACGATACCAAGACAGTTGGGAGTTAAATTATCTTAAAGCAATTTATCCTGGACTGGGCAGAATAAGAACCAATATCTAGTTGTGACCATGACTCATTGATTTGAGTCAATAAGTCCAGATATTAATTAAATCAAAATTGTGAATTTGAAGTGCATCAGAGTGAATGACAGAAGCTATCATACTTAATTAATACAAATCTAAAAATTACTTCTGCCATCCACTCTTGTGGCAATAAAAAAGATACTCTCAGTTAAACCTATCCCAGTGGCATCTTAATTCTCACTTTCCCGGCAAGAATACCAATATACTGGCACCTGGGGCTCAGATTTAAAAACTTAAGTTGCAAACTTTCTTCTTTCTGAATCTTGTTTCATAAGACTCATTTGAGACACTGACCTCTGACCTTTTGATGTATAGCTCACTAAATATATATCTCTCACCAAACTAATTGTATGTTACTAGAAAGAGTGAAAATGATAGTTTGTTTTATGGCACTGAAACATAAGCTGGTTATTTAATGTCAGGCAAATGGAGTCAAGTGCCTTGCCCAAGACCATATCATGGAAGCCAACCCATGCAGATCCAATGGTAGGATTTGAACTCTTCACCCTTCTGATCACTAATCCATCAAGCTAACCACTGAGCAAAAATTTTATCCATGAAACAGTAACAGGAGTAAGTGTTACTTTTCTATTATTGTCCTACATTGTGACCACGCAGGTGGCCTAAAGTGGTTAGGGTGTTTGCCTCTGATGCATGAGGTTGCAAGTTCGAACCCCTGAACCCCAACAGAGTTATACCTAAGATTTACAAAAATGGTAATAGCAGCTGCCTTGCTTGGTGCTCAGCATTAAGAGGTTACTGTTAGGAATGGTCAGCCTGGTGTCAAGATAATGTGACTGGGTGGTACATGATGTCAAATGTCTACAGCATAATGCCCCAGTGCTAGACATCACTAGAAACTGCCACAATGCAGACATCAGTGTGATATTACTGAAAAATTGTTAAAGCTATGTTAAAAATCCAAATCACACACTCATACATGTTACACTGACATGAATTTCCAGATATAAAAAAACATTAATCTAAATATTACCAACAGAGAATTATTATTCCTCTTAACTGCATTTACTGGGACAGTATCTAAAAAACCAGATCAGTGAGTCTTCAAATTTCTGCTTCAACATAGGCAAGAACAAGAAAAAAAAGAAGAAAATACAGTTTAGTCATGAAGGGAGTCCAATTTTCAGAACTAGAAAACTAAATATTTCTTTATATTCTTTACTAAAACAAAATAAAATTGTTTAAATTGATGTATCCATTTGATCCAAATTGCATGAAACAGAATAAATACTTAAAAATACTGTTATTGCTTTTTTCCTGAGAACTGGTTACTTGGAGAAACCCAACATAAGGAACATGATAATGCTTTCCTTTACAAATCCCCTTATTTGATAATTAGGTGTACTGGGATGGAAAGCAATTTATCTAGAATTGCCTCATTTAAAACACATCTAAACCTATTCTTGTCAGAAGTCAAATGTTGTAAGAAATTATCTGTAACACTATCTTTCATGAATGAAATATACCTACACCCCAAAAGGGCTTTTTTGCATAGTGACCAAGATAGGTATCACACTCTTCAACTACAGTGATCACCCTATGAACAGGAGGACATTCCTTCTGCAATTAAAAGGTGGCCTGATAAGAAGGGTGAGCTTTGATAAGGTAGATAGGATTTTAAAAAGTTATTTTTTTGGTCAGGCAAGGTCGCTACGATCAGTTAGGTATCCTCATCAAGTGAAAGTGTTTTACTAAAAAAGATATGACAACCTACAACAGGTGATAAACTCCACTATTAACAACTATATATTGGCAGGGGCATATTGGGAAATTTGCAGTATAAAAAAGCAGGAATGGGACCCGAGATAGAATCCTTTTTGTGAACCCAGGGAGCTCCTGCATATTAAGCATTTCCATGACAAAATTTTAACAACCTAACTGTAAAAAATAAAACTTAATGTCAGAAATGTCCTTGTTTTTTTTGGGGGGGGTGATTGATGTTTAGGGGCATACTGATTATCACCCCCTCCCCATCCAATGCACTTTGATTTGGGCATTCAGTCTATCCCTAGTAATATTTTAAAACTCCACAAATATTCCATGACATCAAAATTATTCCTCAATTCAGATCTTTGTCCCAAAAATGATTAAAGCTGGAATTTGAAATAAATGTGAAACAACTTACAACCTACAATGAGCGTTTGAAGCTGTCTGTGATGAGATGGGAAAAATTAGTTTCCTGGCAAGATGTGGATACTGGTGAGAAGTGCAGCCATAGAGAAGACCTTTTTAATCAGGTGGATGCTATAATCTGCCCATTTTTCTCTCAACAAGAAGATATCCAGAAATCAAATCTGATGCCAGTCCAAGTCTTTATTGTATTCAATCTATTCTGGGTTCTTATTGTCTTTACTGGGTTGTATACAACACAAAAGAGGTAGCCTTAATTTACTGTGCTGACTGTAACTTTTTATGCCCAATAATTTTTAATTCATACATTTAAACTGATGTCCACTGCTGCATTTGAATTTATTGAATAAACCCAATTGTCAGATAAACTATCTAAGAAAACTTTTAAGTACTAATGATCAAGAGCACTAATATGGCCTATCTAGTAATAAGATGTACATCATACTCCTTAACCACAGTGATGGATGCACATCAAATTATCTAAACTAATTCTTGAACATAGTGTTGAATGCATATCAAATTATTTAAAATAATTCTTGACCACAGTGCTGGACATTATTTAAAATAGTGTTGGATGCACATCAAATTATTTAAAACAATTCTTGACCATATTGTTGGATGCACATCAAATTATCTAAAATAATTCTTGACAATAGTGCTGGATGCACAACAAATTATCTATTGTAATCATTGACAATAGTGCTGGATGCACATCAATTTATCTAGTGTAATCCTAGACAATAGTGCTGTATGCACATCAAATTATATATTGCAATCCTTGACAATAGTGCTGGATGCACATCAATTTATCTAGTGTAATCCTAAACATTAGTGCTGTATGCACATCAAATTATCTATTGCAATCCTTGACAATAGTGCTGGATGCACATCAAATTATCTAAAATAATTCTTGACCACAGTGCTAGATGTACAACAAATTATTGTAATCATTGACAATAGTGCTGGATGCACATCAATTTATCTAGTGTAATCCTAGACAATAGTGCTGTATGCACATCAAATTATATATTGCAATCCTTGACAATAGTGCTGGATGCACATCAAATTATCTAGTGTAATCCTTGACAATGGTGCTGGATGCACATCAAAGTATCTAGTGTAATCCTTGACAATAGTGCTGGATGCACATCAAATTATCTAGTGTAATCCTTGACAATAGTGCTGGATGCACATGAAATTATCTAGTGTAATCCTTGACAATAGTGCTGAAAGACCATAATCTGGATGACCAGAGTGCTCGATGAACATCCTATTATCATTTTCATTATTACAACATATATATCACTTAAATGGCATAATCCATGGTAGCTTAGTTGGTATAACATTAAACTCATAATTCAAGAGTCTCAGGTTTAATACCCACACTGGCTGGCCTGTATCAGCACCTTGATGTGTCTTCGGGGAAAGGCAGTTACCTCCCATTTCCTATTCACAACACAGCCAATAATGTGTTAAAAGTGCCATCAAAACCAACAAAGGAAAACAAAAAGAACAAAACTTCACTGGACTCGAAATATTTTGAACACCTATTTGGTATGACATAGCTACGCAATGACGAATAACTAATGCTTACATTTCAAGCAATCTGCAGCCAATGAAGACATCACATTAGGAACATGACTGTCAACTTATAAAGTATCCAACATAATGTGAGCTTAAGAAATTATTCATCTGGGTACAATTCTTGGAGTTTAACCTCATCATAATAAGTACAAACTGATGATACTACCAACAATGTAATTAGTATGTACACACTATATGCTATATGCTATAAGTGTTAACACCCTGTGTCTATGTTTGGAGCTCTCCAATTTAGATGTGCATTGTCCATCCTAATATGGGCATTCTTTAATAAAGAATATGCAAAATTCAATTTTAATACTAATTTTATCCCTTCAGTTACTGGTACTTGTTAACGAGGTTTTTTGGACATGTATTGTGGTAAGTATGCAATAAAAGCATGATATTCTCGGCTGGTTTCATCAGCTGCTTTCCTCCTACAACGAATGACAGAACAAAGGAAACAGACATTCTGTAAGGGAAAATTGTGTGAGATGAATATACACTTATTATAGTGTCTGGAAATTATGCTCAATACACTAAATGAAAGAAAGGAAAGAATAATATTCAGTCATAAAAATGAGACAACCAATTACTGTTTATACTCACTTATGAAACATGCCCAACTGCAAACTGCATAGAACCAGATTTGCTATCACATAATGCACTGGTAGATCTGGGTCTGTGTAGTGTATTAGGAGCAATCTGTATAACAAACCATACTTATAGAGGCATATTATGCTATGGCAGACAGGATATTTTGTTGTTTGCAGTTAGGCTCAACCTATAAGTCAGTATAGACAGTAAATGGATGGAGTAGATGGCAATTCATTTTTGCTTGTAGTATTCTGTATAGAACTTTTTAATTTAAAGACTGTACAATTTTGCAATAAAAATGAGCCAAATATTTTTAAAATTTTTAACTGTAAGTTTGTTGTGCAAAATGAAGTAATAGAAGGTGTTGTTGTTGTTGTTGGGCTTAACGCCATTTTTCAGCACACGATAGGCTATTCATGGCGGCCAGTATTAATGGTGGAGGAAGAAACTGGGAAATCACCAGAAAGAACCACTGACCCACGAGAAGCTACTGGCAAGCTTTCTCACATATCCACATTCCCCGAATCCTAGACTCAGGTGAGATGGCAGTGATCCGTAACGGACATTGCTTTAGGTGTAAAACTATTATAGATAATACCATAATATTAATGCCTCCCAACTAAAAAATGTTCTTTAATAATTAAATGCTAGTTGAAGTACAGTAATTCCTTCCTGAAAATGAACTGATGTGAATTTATAAACTTGATTTCCAAAGCTGCAGTATGATAAAAGAGGAGCTCTATCCATAATGAAGTTTCATAACATGATGGTTTGTTCCAATTAAGGTGTTAGATGACAATGTATCACTAAGATTGTGTTATAAAAAGTGAATGTATAAATAATGTGTGCTATCAAAAAGATAATGTATCACTATGCATGTTATCAAAATGATAATGTATCACTATACATGTGTTATAAAAGATAATATATCACAGAACATGTATTTAAGAAGATAACATATCACTATGCATGTGTATCATTAGACATGTGTTTTAAAATGATGATTCACTCAGTATATGTATAATTAAGCAAGTGTTATGAAATGATAATGTATCACCATGCAATTGTTATCAAAAAAGATAATGTGCAACTATAAAGTTCTTATCCATATGCACATATTGTAACAAGGTGTTTTACCACTATGCACATATTTTAAAAAGGTATTCTATCACTGCACATATTGTAACAAGGTGTTCTATCAATATGCACATATTGTAACAATCTGTTCTATCACTTTGCATATATTGTAACAAGGTGTTTTACCACTATGCACATATTTTAAAAAGGTGTTCTATCACTGCACATATTGTAACAAGGTGTTCTATCAATATGCACATATTGTAACAATCTGTTCTATCAC